AGTGAGTATTTTTCGGGATATTAATAAAATATGAATAAGAAAATTTGGCCCGAAACTACTAACCACAAGTAAAATGACTATCCTCACGGATTGTAGAGCCTATCACTATAAATTGAATTAGAACTGCATTTGGCTGTTGCATATGAGTAGGCAAATAAAGCATGATAAAATAATAAATAAGAGGAGGATTGCTTAGGTTGGCATCTGGTTAGTGCTGCAACACTATTTTATTTATCGGCTATTCCCACAAGAAGATGTCGAAGATTGCAGAATCACACTTCAGCTGATTCAGGAAAGGAAGCAAAGGTTATAATTTTATCTCCATCATCTACTCTAATTAGAAGCACCAATGTCTGTCAACAAACACAACCTGAAGCAAATTCTCCATCGGTTTCCGAAGTGGTCACTTTGCGAATTTCTTTTAAACAAATTTTCTTACAAAATAAAAGGCCCGATAAGATGAATTTGGCCAAGCCTTCTTTTAATCTCAGCTTTCCTTCTTTTTTTCTATAAATAGAATGAATTAGCCAATACGCAAGCACCATTGAGATATCAATGGAGAACAATAAAAAGCACACACTCAACCGATATAATTTATCGCTAACCTGAACTCAGTTTATAACCAACATAAATTTCATACAAGATCGTCCGACAGTTCCCAATATCTCGAACATTAGTGTTAGACGTGATTTTACAGGCAAGTTCATCGCGTATTTGTCCGCGGCAATTCGAAAATCCTCTTTGATGTCAGCAACCCCACTCCTGGATGCATTGCCATCCGACTCCAGCTGTCGGAGCGACACTGACCTCTGAAGGTCAACAGTACAGGCGATCCAAGCTGACGGCCATGCTCCGCTCCAAGCCCAATCACCTCCAATGAGCCTAATGAGTAAGACAAACCTAACTTCGTAGATACGAACAGAAACTATCATGAAAACTTTCATTTTATATGAAAGTGCATGATGAAGTGATTCGTAGGCCAATGCTACCAAAAGACGCCGACTGATATGCGTTCATTAACAAGATCCGGCTGTTACAAGATTATGCGGTCATGTAGTCAGTCTTGCGCTAGTGTGATCTGTCGGCCGATCCACCAAAGATTAGGAAAACAGAAAAATGCTTATCAAGGCAGCCGGATCGAACGCTCGGAGGTGTCTCAGAACAGGACAAAGACCGGACTTAGAAGAGAATGGTCTCGGATGCAGAGGTTTTATGATTATGGTATGTCTGCTAGAAAACGCAAGATACGAGGGGTCATCACAATTAGTGGAATAGACCAGTGGTTCCCAAACTTTTTCTAGTCGCGGCGGCCTTTTTAAATTGAAATCTTTTCATGGCGCCATACCCTAAGTATGACTATTTGAAAGTGAGAGATAAAAAAAATAA